TTCAACCTAGCATGCCTAGGTTCTATGGAACCCAGGCGCTGGGTACCTTTGAACCCAGCACGCCTGGGTTCTTTGGAACCTTCTTCATCCTTGCTTTCTCTTTCGTTTTGCTTATTCTTTTCTCTCCTCTCCTTTCTCCTTCTCATCCTTTTTGTTTTTCCCTTTGCTATTGAGAACCTAACCAAGAAAACTTAATTCGAGTATTCTCCCTCCTTTTCCCAGTATTTCTGAACAAAAACCCATGATTTTTTCTCATTGGTTCTCATTTTCTTCTTCTTCTTCTTCTCTTATGTTTCTTTGTTGGCTACAATCATGCTTGGTTATCTTGGTATGGGATTTAGAGTTTTGTGTGGCTTTTGCTTGCTTGAATTTCAAGATCTAGTTGCTATTGGCGTTGATTGAAGGGATGTGTTTTTTTGCATTTTTCTTTTCTTTTATAGATATAGTGTAAGTTTGCAATATGATTGACTTTTTGAATCTTTACAGATCTGGTATAAGTTTGCAGGGTAATTGATTTTTCAAATCAGATCTATTGACCACTATTATTGTGCGAGCAACTAGATTTGGGTTCCATTAGAGAGGAGGTTTGGGGAAGAAGGAGAAGTTTGGTGATTCGGGTTCCATTTTTGTCACACCCCAAAACCCAAATTCAGGGACATGGCAGACGCCGTACACTAGTGAGAGGGTCTCACAAATACACAAGGCTCGAAACTTATCATACCACAATCTGATACCACAAAATCTGAAGATAAAATTTAAAATTTCTCTGATATCATAAAATCTCCAAATAAAGTCTAGTTTACAAGATCATGATTTATATCTAAATCTATGCTCAATTTACAAGATGGCTAGCCTTCTAACTCGCCACTCCCCTCGTTTTTCCTGTCCTTGACTTCGCTTCCTAAAATGGTGGACAAGGAAAAGATAAACTCAGTAAGTAAATATGGATAGCCCTTAATTAAACTTATAGCATGCCAATAAGTATAATTAGAAAAATGGATACAGTGCGAAAACAAAATAGACGTCTCCTCTATAGGTCACGACCAGTGTTATAAACCTCCCACTGGCAGATACACTATTTGCTAGTGTATAACCCCCACTAGCAGGGTCACTTGAACGAACCAGTTCTATCAATAACATGTCGACATGTGCTAGCGTTTATAAACCTTCCACTAACGGGCACACGAATAACATGACCATATCGGAGACAAAACAATCAGAAGTTAACAGAAAAACCATAATTCACCAAT